TGCATAATGTTCTAGGAACTCGTTAGAAATATTTTACAAAACATCAGTATTTCAAACAGCAATTTACAAATGTTTATATTGGTCCTATGAACTCAGCAGCTGCTTTAATGACTATTAATTAAATCTAACAAAAGTAGAAAAAAGTTCAAATAATAGTTTTTTTATTCCAACATTACCTTTATTATCTCCATAAAATTTTCAGCAAGCTGAACTTGGTGCCTTTCCACCAACTGCAGAATATATGAGAAGCATCTTTCGAAATTCCTGATGTACATTAAGTTTTACATTTTAAAATATTTGAACATGAAAAATGACTTCTTTTAAACTTGGTTAAACTTCCTACATTTTCATAAAGTTTAAGAAACGAAAAATAGATGAGCATAAAAGTGTAGGAAGAGAGACTGAAATAATTCCGAGATATACAGAAAAAAAAAGAGAAAAAACAAAAATCAAAGTCCATCAAAGTAAAAAAAGACCAAAACTAGAATTACAGAAAAGTATCAACACTAACACCTTATAAACCTTCAACTGTTATTCAGTTCATGTTGTTTATTGAAACAAAAATTTTCCAAAAATATATCATGTAATTTTCCAGAAAATATTCATCATTTCTTTCATACTTCTTTTGTTACATATTTTCTTATTTTATTAAAAAAGATTATTCCTTATATCTTGAAATGGAAAAGGTACGAAAAATACAATATATGGGAAACCACTAATCATGAATTAGTTTCATGTTTTAACTGTTCAATAGATAATTTTTCGTTAATTCGTTTCAAATATTTAGCACGATTTGTTTCAATAAGATTCCACTTTCGACGACTGTACACTTTTGACCATTGTTGTGGATTAGTTCCCGGCAATAAATCATCATTGCCCAATGGATTCAATTTTATTTTTCCCGTTGTTATACGTTCACATGTTGCATTACCATCTTGAGTTTGTTCCAGATCTTCTCTACAAGAAAATTAATTATTGATTTAAGCTTCATTATCATTCGATTAACATTTTTAGATCTGTTTATAGAGAGGAAAAAGCGACAAAGAAATCAAGAAAACAACCGCATTAACAATTACGAATATTTCAATAAATAAATGAAGTTTAAATAAATATAAAGCAGAGCAAAAAGGTAGGGTTAAAAAAGACTATAATTTAATTTGAGAAACAAGTTAGAAAAAAAAAAATAAGCTGAATAAATTTATAAATCCGAATGGTTCGCTGTTGCAATTTCTACTGTTTTCTTGAATAACTATTGTTCACCTTATTGCGAGAAGTGGAACTGCTGGAAAAGCTTGTTTGATTTTCATTGTCAACGAATCAAGATATTCAGTTATACTCTTTACGCTCTGCCAAGATCGATTTTTCCTCAGAGAATCATTATTCAATCTTATGTTTAGAAATGACCGTTGCCTTCCTTCAAGATGTCGTTTCGCTTCCTCAACTGCATCTTGAGAAGTAAACGAAGTAGCAGCAATACCTGTAGTAAAATGTATGAATACAACTAACGGTTACTTAATCGTCTTTCTCTTCTCAATGTTGCACAACATTAAAGAAAAGAGTTATTTCCATACCTAATTTGGCGGCCATAACGTCTGCAACCCGTTTCGTGAACTCTTCAGTTGTTTCGCTTGGTTTATTTGATTCTGAACTCTTCCTACGATGCAAAGGATGAAGCCAACGTATCTAAATCAATTCTCTGATAGAATCATTTACTCAATGTTTGAAGCATAAAACTAACTAAATCAATTTTCTACCGATCAATGTACCAAACCGATATACAACTAAATATGGATACTTTTAACGAATGCTTTATAATTAGAACTGAAAGCATATTTAGAAAGATAACATATGTTCAATTCAATATAGTTCCGCGTAATCTTCTACAATGTGATACATTGAACGGGTCAAACAATTCCAGTAGTAGATATATCAAAATAGTATTCGGGATTTCATGTTTTGAATGTATCAACTGAAAATGGACTGGGATGAAAAATTGTACTTTCATGACAGTAAACGGCACAAACAGAAAATAGAAAACATCTTGCCACCATGCGCCACCCAAAACTGATACTGCAATATTGCCGAAAAATGGCCGATATATTGATATCAACACGGGCTGGACTGAATCAGACACCTAAATTCCGAAATTAATTATCACTATAAAGAAGGTACCCAGGAAGACAAGAAAACAAATACAACATACTTCGAATGGCCAAGTACTAAATTTGAGAAGACCAGTGGAACCACTCGTCATTGCTCCTTCCGGAAAGGTGAGAAGAGGCAAAGTATTCTTTTCGCAAAAGATTTTTGAACGACGAATAAGCTCCGCACGTCCTTGGCGAGCTCCCAAATCTCTGTATCCTAAGCACCTACAAATGAGTTATGAAAAATAAAGAAACCATCCAAACATTAATTTAAAATAGCATTTTTGAAGTAATATTTAGCAGTTATCTATGAACGAAATCGATCAGAAAAATATCTATTTAATGAAATCAGTGATGAATTATCGAGCTAGTAGCCAAATGATCTGACCCAATTTAGGCTCTTCAGCTTGAAAACGCAACAAAATGGAACAATAAACTTGAATGACACTTGGCACTTACCAACGTAAAATGCTCGGTATATCCCAAACAGAAGGTAATATGCAAGGTTCAATTAAATCAATAGCCAAGTGATCAAGAGTCGAAATATGGTTCGCAACTAGCATATGTGTTTTATGATCCCAATCTCGAGCTGGTCCACCGCTTAATACTACTAAGCCCAGCAAACATGACATAACCCGTAATACCTGCAAAACAATTCATCATATACATCATATAAAAAAACGAATATTTTATTCATTGCTTGTTAATTTACAAATTTGTATATTTACACCAAGTGATTATCCATAAATTCATTACAGTGTAATGAAGATTGAAACATTTAGCAGATAAAAAAGTTCAACTCTCACAACATCTATAAACCGATAAAATATTGCAACAGATAGCGAACAGAAATAAGGTCATTATAAGTTAGTTCAATTGACTTGAAACTTAGTCTGAAATATCACAAATGCATTTTAAAAATATAAATTACGAATGAGTTTGAAAATCTGAACAAGTTTACGCTTCTCTCTGTGAACACGTAAGTGAATATGTATAAAAACTAAGAGTAATAACAACTTACCGTACACCTTAGTAACATTGTTTTGCGTAGGATACATGCAGTAAGGAAAATATGTACACCAATAATAACACGTAAACAAAACAGCAATATGCCAAATGGAATATATGAATAAAGTAAGAAACGTTGAAACGTGGACGAAGAATAACGATCACGTACAAATAGACTACTTAAATGTGGTGCTGATGTTGTTGTTGATGAAGATATTTCCGCCATTTCTGAAAGAATCATATCGTATCATATTAATTCAAATAATATTTCACGAAAAAGCAATTAGTTCTGCCACTTTAATAAATCAAATATTTAACACAAACAAAAAGTTCCATTAACAAACATAAAATACACAAACAATAATGCGGCCCAAATGAAAATTATCGTACAAGAAGCGAATATTTTATTCATTGTTTGATTATTTTACAAATTTGCATATTTATATCAAACATTCCGAAATGATTTAAACATGTTAGAATAACAACTAGAAATAGTAATTTCATATTACGGTGTTAACTTAAGCCGGTTCATTACTAAGCGGAAATTTCTAACTGTTATAGCTATCCTGAATAAATTCCGGTTAGCACATTCATAGATTATACATTGAATAGTGAATGAACAAATTATGTCAAATGAAATGAGAACATTTAAACACTAATTCAATATATTATCAATTTTCTTTTCGCTAATTCATTTTACTCAGTTTAAAATTTGTTCTAATCTTTTGAACGTTTATTATCTTTAACTTTTCGATCTCGAAAAGATAATTAAGGGAGGAAAAAAGATATATGTAATAGTATTCTATAATAAAATAAGAAAGAAAAAAAAAAACCACAATTTTGGAATTAACAAAAAGTATGTATGAAATGAATTTTAATCAATGAGCAACTTTACAGCTTCAGTGTATTGTGTGTATGTTTGTTATATCAACAGAAAGTGAACTTTGAAAGTATATGTTTTTGAAAATTTTCAACAAATGAAAAATAATTCAATCGATCATTCGTAACTGATAGTCAACTATGAAAAGGTAATACATTTGTTTAATTTCATTTTTTTTCCTTTTTTTTTAAATTTAAAATTTAAGAATTGAAAATTGTTGCTACTAATTGATCACACCCATTATTTTCTTTCTTTTTGGGATCTTTAAAATATCCTTTTCTGCTACTACGAATAAATCGAAATATATAAAAATTATTATTCTTAATCAAAGGATCCCTTCCATATTCATTATTAATTAGAATGAATGATCATTTCAGTAAAACAAATTAAAACTTTTTTTTTGAAATGTTTGAATTGAATATAAGAAAGTGTTGACATGCTTTTTTTTTTTTCACTTGAGAAAGAAGTTTTTTATTTACAGAAATACAGTTAAATTTAAAAGTGTCAGCCTATTTCAAGGTATTTTCTTAATACTTTCTTAATAATAACTTTTTTAAAATAATATTTGAATCTACCAAAAAAGCTCTGAAGCATATATATGAAATGCAAGAAATTAAGGGACAATTTTTAGTTATCAAATATTATAATGAATGTAAATTAACAGATAATAAATTAAATTTACTAGCAAAATACCTGAAATTAAGGTATAAGAATGTGTTAAATATGAATGAAAAGTAAAACTTCATCTTAATAATTAAATTAAAATTTGATTCATATCATAATATTTAAATTTGAAATTTGATTTATCGTCTATTACTTTCCCTTTTCACCTTTTTTTAAAGTAAGTTATATTAATAAATAGATTAAATAGATAAAAATTAAATTAGAAAAAGAAAATAAACATGATTTTGTATTATTTAATAAGTACATTTCTAGGTTGCTGTGTATCATCGACTTCATTATTATGGATGATTATCACATTATTTATCTTTTTTATCATTTTTGCCATTTTGGGCTTACTAGCAATTTGGCTTCTTTGTGCTTATTATCGAAGAAAATCAAGGTTAATTTGCATAAATTGTATAATTTTATCAACAACTGAGAAAACTTTTCATAGTTTATTATTATTTTTTTTTTTTTTGAGATTTCTTTAAATTGATTCTCTTTTCTGAAAATAAAACTGATTGAAAATTTAGGAAAAGAATGGAAAAGGAATTACAGCATCGTCGAGAAGATAAAAATCAGTTAAAACTTGATATGTTTCGAAAAAAGCAACTTGATATACAAATGATGACAGCAATAAGAGATACCAAAATTGGCTCAAAAGAACATCCATCATTTCGCTCCAGAGAATTAAGTATGTTTAAATTTCTTTAATCTATCAAAAAAAATATTATAATTTGCGATAAAAATGAGGAAAAGAGTAAAAGAACCTATGATGCTACTCAAATTCTGACTATCTATTTAAGAACTTAAAAAGCTGGAAAGACATAAAATGTACTATAATTTATTTTTTTTAATCATGAGAATTTTTAAAATTTTCCTTTACGAAAAATACTCAATAAAATAGCTATCTATATAAGTAATTATTTGATGTAAGTAAGTAACCAAACAATTTTGAAATTTAATAATTAGAAAAAGATATCTATAATAACTAATTTCAAACTAATATCTAAGAAATGATATATATTCAAAAATTTCCGTAGATCTTATAAGTGACATATACTGTACGCTAATTATGAATATGCTAAAATATCTACTATTATTATTAATTAGGAATATTTGTAAAATAAATAGAAAAAATGATTCCGTCTATTCAGCTAGCTTAGATTAAAAATATATTGAGCAAAAAGAAAAAAAAAGAAGCCACCTGTTATATGATATATTAAATATTTTGAATGAAAATTTTATGAGCTTAATTTATCATCCATTCATTTAGCTGCTAATAAAAGTTAGAAATAACGATCTGTAAATTTAGTGAATTCTCAAATGTCATTTATGCCATATGCTCAATTGCAAAAGCTTAAACAATATCCAAGTCATTTACCTCCTCAGTCAATCCCATCAACCTTACAAACTACAGCAATTGATAAAACTGCAAAGGAAATTGAAGTAAATTATTATTTATTTATTTTTAAAGCAGTAAAATCATAGACTAACTTTTTGAAGTTTAAATATCTTCGCTGTTAGTTTTCAGGATTTACAACTTTTACCCGCTTTCACAGCAAAAACACCGTCTCAAAAAACAGAAAAAGATAAACAGCTCTCAACTGAGAAAGATTCTCAAGCAACTGGTGAAAGTAAAGTAAAACATTACCTAAAATTTGAAATTGAGCACTTATGATATTTATTTAGAAGCATTTCTTTAAAAAACCAATTTTTTTTTTCCGGATTATTAGAAGTATTTATAATGACATTCTCGTTTTTCAATTGCTACTTAATGCTGAATACGGTTATATGAAACTTTATGAAAAGAAAAATAGAATCATTCATTTATTGCTAGATAATCCAAATAGAAATATCTTTCATTTAACATTTTTAATATCATGATAATCAGTAGCTAATACCGATTAATATCTTTCATAAATAAAGTTTAATAATTTCTACTTCTATTAATGTTTAAGGTGAAAGATGATGAAAAGCCTCAATTTCAAGAACATGAGACTGACGTTTCAAACGAAAATCAATTAGATAAATGGAAAAAAAAGAAATATAAAAAACGGAAATCCGAAACAGAGGTATTCTCAATCAGTAGCTTAATTAATTTAAGCAAAAATTCTGTGATTGAATGTTTTATTTATCGTTAAAAGATTCAAAAAAAAAAAAAAAACTTTTGAAAGTTTACAACATTAGAATGTAATGTATGAAAATTAAATATCCAAAAAATTTTCAAGTAGAAATTAATTTCTAATGATTTTGATTATTATTTATCATTAATAAGAAAACTACTAATAAATATATTACAATAACTGATAATTTAGAAGAGAAAGACTGGAAAATCTGATGATCAAAAATATCGTCAAACAACATCAACGCAAAAAGTATGATTTAATATTATAAATGTAAACTATGCTATTATCAATTGATGTTATCCTTTCTAAGGATATTTCTCAGATAAAATTAAATAATTTCTTCTCTATTAATTTATCATTTTACTAAATTTTAACACTTTTTTCAATATTTTTTTTTCAAACATAATTCATTCAATTAATCATCAAATATATTTGAGATTTCGAAAATAAGATTATCACTTTTAATTATCATTTAACTTAAAATTACTTTAATTCTAATTATTGCCAAAGAATCTGTTATATCCCGCATATCTCACTTACTAGTGAATATTTTAGCCGGAACGATATCATCATCAAATTCAACCGGATCATGTTCATGAATGGATTAGTCGTGTTGCTCGCTCAACAAGTCCAGTTCCATATTTTTCACCAAACAAGCGAGTTCTCCTCATTCCTGAACTATCCGGTAAATCGTGATCCTTTCTCAAATTTATTCATAATATTATAGCTGTATGTAAATGAGCTTAAAATATATTCAATTGAATTTAACAAATTTCAAACTAAACCATACCATTTATTTAATTTTTAAATTTCAATTATTAAATGAAATGAAATAGTAGTTCAAATGTAGTGAATTTTTTTATCATAAATAAATATATGTACAAATATCATAAATATAAATATATAAATACATTTATTGATTATAATACATATATTTTTAAAATCGATGAAGTGATTTCCCCTCCCCAAAAAAAAGAAATGAAAAAATTAGCTTTTTAAATAAATGGCGAATAAATTTCTCAGCAGAAAATTTGGATGATACAAATGATGAAGAAAGTGATACGGAAAATAAAAGTTCATTGGATGAAACTGGAACAAATATATCGGAAAAATTATCAAATTCTCTATCACATCCTGTTTGTCGCATTTAAAATTTGAGATTTCAATTTTGAATTTTGATTCAAATATCAATTGTTGTTTATATCTAATTGAAGAAATTGATTGAGCATTAGTTATAAATACAAACATCCATGTAAAATTATTTCTAATCAACAAATATATTCGTCAGTGACATCATCTAAGTGTTATTAATATTCTCAAATAATTCAAGTAATACTTTAGTAAAACTGTATCAAATTTTAATAATATCTATTGTACATTCTGTGAAAGTTTTAAATTTAATAATTTGTAAATTATAATTATTGAAAATTGAACTTAAAGGTACTTATATTTGCCGACAAGAAATCGTTTTTTTTTTAAAAAAAAAATGTATAAATCAGAAGAATAGAGAAGAGATTGAGAAATTTTTAGTTAAAACTACTATACATTCAAAATTCAAATTATAGAATACAATGATGGAAACTGACGTAGAAATATCAACCGAGACGAATGAAAAAAGTACGCCAATGACGCCAACGCCAATTTCTGCTTCAGTTAATGCACCACCAAGTCTGTTCAATTTTCAAAGTTTTAAGTTTTAAGAGAAATTTAACTTTCTGTTTAATTGATAATTAAATTTACAAAGTTTTAAGAGAAATTTTTTCAAAGTTTTAAGAGAAATTTAACTTTCTGTTTAATTGATAATTAAATTTGCATGCTAATGATTATCTTTGTAATATTTGGAATAAATGACAGATTGAGAAAATATGTTAGATCGTTATCAGTCGGAAATGATGATTGAATTATCATTCAGTTGTGCTAAATGAAAATTAAGTAAAATGAAAAGCAAAAAGTATTAAGTAAGAAATAAATGAATTGTCATTTGTGAAAACGTGTTCGTATCGATTCTTTTCTTAAATTTAGACATTTGTTTTTTTGAATTATTTAAAAAAGATATGGAATAGAGTACTGATAGTTTTGAATTACCTGAAATATTAAATGGAGTATAGGATAGTTTAAAATATAACAAAAATTTAGAGATAATTTAGTTAGAAATTTTGCTACTGCCAATTTGACCATTTAACACCATTGTTATTGAATTTGTTAGAATCATTCTTTTTTTTTTTCAGGTAGCACATTTTTAGATGATCAATCGTACTGGAAAAGAGAAAACAAACAAAGAAAGTATTTGAAAACGGGAAATGAATCAAAAATAATAAGTAAGATTTTGAAAAACCTTTCTTTAATTACAAAATCGTTATACGAATGGAATCGATTTCAACCATTTATCTCATTTAGCTTTTCATTATAATCTATTATATTAATTTTTTTCACTGTAATCTATTATATTCAGTTTCCTATTATAATTTATAATCTATCATAGATGATGGAGATAATATAAGTAAAAAGCCAACAGAAAAAATATTATGGAAAGCACCGGATAAACGAGCTGAAGCAAGGTTTAATCGAACTCTTGAAAATCCATGGTAAACATTACTATTAAGATAAACATTAGAATACTATCATTAGGTTTATCTACCGGATAACCGGATAATCAACAATAAGCATTGATAAGCATTCCTTCAATCAGTCATATTTTTGCTAATTTGAATATCCTTAAAAAAACTTTCAGATTTATATTTCTTTCCATATATCAACGCAGCACTCAATTGTCATAGGGAAAAAGTTATCCTGTCTGAGTGAAGTTTTATGAATAATATAAAAAAAGAAAAAATAACTAAGGAAATTTCTGTTACGAATGCTTCATCATAATCTTTAGTTCTTACATCATTAAATTTAAGGTTTAATACAGTGCCAACTGTCCATTCAACAGTATCTCACAACAGGTAAAATTTCTATATAATATATTTGATGTAAAGTTTGCTAGAATGAGCATAAATTTATCCATTTTATTTTTACTTTTATTTACTAAATATTGATCATTCTTTTTCTTTAATTATCCTTTTCCTGAAAATAGTAAGTTAGTTTTTGTAAATAAGAATTTTAAATTATTACTATATTCTCTAATTTAATGTGTTACCCCTAACACAGGTGTGCTTATTCATCGTAAGAGGCTTTTTAGTTGCAAATTTGAATATAATTCTACAAGTTATTATGAGTAAGTAATCTTAGTTGCAAATTTGAGTATAATTCTACAAGTTATTAAAGTTATTATGAGTAAGTAATCTAGATTGGTCTACTCATGATAATCTTTCATACCTATCTAGAATTAATTATGAAAAGTTTGACTAATGAATAGAATGCATAAAATTAGAGCAAATGACAATTATAGATTATCAATAGATCATCCAACATTTCAGAGAGGAATAATCAGTTGATGTTATCAGCTATGAAACAACAACTATATCATCTTACACCATTGTTATGTTGAATCCACTTAAAAATTGGCTATTTTGTTCCAAAAAATAAAATAATAAAATAAAAAATATTTGCAACAAATAATTTTGAAACAAATAAAAATGTAAAAATAATTTTGATAATTGAAACTACAAAGAAATCTTATGCTATAAGTTATTTGTGTTTAATTTCTTACTCTATCAATATTTGCGCTTCATTTTTTTCAATGTAATTTTCGCAAAAAAAAAAGAAAAAACAAACGTCTCATGTCATTTTGAAAAGTTTATACTAAATTAGCTTCAATTTCCAATTATTTCCTATCTTTTATCCACAAATTTTCATATCATAAATGTAAAATAAACAAAATATTACAACAATAAAATTTTCATTTATTTTAATGAATAAAATGTGAAATTTCATAATAATCCAAACAATGTGATGTAAATAACACAGACCACTTGAATTAGAAATTGTTATTATTACTTGGAAATAATAAGGCACCAGTTGAAATTAACGGTTCAATTTTGTAAATTGTTTAATTCGGGTTGGAAAAAAAGAGAGAGAAAAAAAAAGGAACTAAGATAAGGTGAGAGGGAGTGAATATTCATGGGAAATGAGTACCGCGGGATCATTCGAAGCTATCACTGGGGAAAAGCGTCGTGTGGCTCATCGACCCAATGAATCAGTGAAAGATGTCATACGTGGGTTGGCTTTTAAGAAACAATCCGTTGCACAGGTCGCCTGTTTTATCCTTTAGAAATTTTAAAATTGTAGTTTTCTTCAAAAATTGCTAATTTTACTAAAAAGGTTGAAGAGGAAGTTCGAGTTTTTTATTATTTATTGTTGCAATTTTTATTAAAATTTTATCAAGCAGTTTTTATAATTTTTATCGAATCCTTTTTTTTTTTTTTTTTTTTACTAAATGGAAGTAAAAATTATAAATTTTGTACAAGGATTTTCGCTTTTTTCTCTTTGATTTGAAATTACGGGAATGGAAGTGAAGTTTTGATTGATTTAAGAATCAACAAATCTTTTTTCTTTCATTATTTTAAAGAGGACAAAAACAAGTTTTTTTTTTTTTTTAGAATTTTTGATTCACATCTTTTAATCGAAAATTCCTTGTCGAATATGGAAAACTACTGAGATCACTATATCTTCTATATTGAAGATGGTTTTTCTTTGAAATTTACCAGACCTAAATAAAATGTACATAGCAATGGAACGTTGTGACCTATCGTGGCCGTATATGTCCATTTATGTTAATTTCTTTGCATTAGTTTAACCGCGTATAGCTATTTCAAAGAACTGTTAAGAGTATCACTCAAGGGTTCAAAGGTTATGCTATTAATAGCTCGAATGATCTTCATGATTAAATTGTGATCATTCTCGGATAGATTGGAGATGGATTCATTTTCTGAATATTGAAGGACTGTGTATCTTCCTAAGAAGCTAGTTATTTTATATATGATATTATAATGACTTAATTTATAGATGGTAAATTTGCTGACATCAAAGAATGGCAAAAAGGACAGTCGAGTACAGCTTCAACATGGATCAAAAGGTAAAGTTTTATTAAGTTTCATAAATCCACTAGAAAAAAATCCTTTTGTTATAGGTACTATACAAAAAATAATTTTTAGAAGTGAAAAAAACACGACCATTTCATCGTAGCCGACGTTTGATGTCATCCTCGGAAGAGGAGGAGGAGGAGGAGGAAGAAGAAGAAGAAGAAGAAGAAGAATTAATTGAAAATGGATCAGATGATGAGGATTTGAAAATTTTGGAGGCACCACGCACTACTACCAGTTGGAGAGAACAGAGTTCAGATGCAGAAGCGGATGAGGATAAGAAAGAATTATCCGAAGTATCTTCAAGAAGCGTCCGAGCTATACCAAATATCATGCAGAAAGATCTAACTTTTGAGGAAAGGTGAGTGTGATTAATTTTTTTTATTAGATTGACTAGTGATTTAAAATGAAATTTGGATATCTTCTTGTCAAAATGGCTGCATAAATTTCGGAGAAAGAATCGCAAACAAGTAATCCAAATTATTGGTATCCTGTTGTGTAGAAGATAAATTAAAAATCTAGTCGTTGGAAAAGTATGGACTGATTTCTTCTAATCAAATATTTGTCAAAATTATTATACAGCAAGTAATTGTTTTATGTGTATTTAAAGAAAACATGTTTCAGAACAAACTGTTTTGTTCGTTTTTTTTTTCTTTTTTCTTTTTTGTTATTGCTTAAAGCTTAATGCTTTTGATGTTAATTATAGTAAATGAGATTATTGAGTGTTTTAGTAATTTCTTTCATTTTTGAGGCTTCAAACGTTAACAGACAGCGAGTCAGGTGATCAAAAAACGGATGAAAAAGAACCAGTGAAATGGTTATGTAAGCCACGATTAAATGGTTTTTTGAAACAAGATGATACACATGTAGCCACTCAACCGACTACAAAGAGAGGTGGACGGAAGAGAGCAATCATTTCTTCGTCCAGTGATGAAAAATCCGAGAGCGACGAAAAACGAGTAATTTTTTAGTTTTTTTGATGGAACCATACTATCGACAACCATCACATATTAAAATTTTAGGATGAATTCGGGTTGATAATATTTCGAGGTTTTGATCCATCTTATTTGAATGGATGCTGTAGCATTTCTATCCCTTAGTTTTGCAAAATCTTAAATTAATTTTCAGTCTATTTTTTAACTAGTTAAAGGTTCCAATAAGTTTGAAAATGATGGTGAAGAAAGTTAAAAAGCACAAGAAATACGTGAATTCAAGTAGTGAGGAGAGTGAAAGTGATGACGAACATTATGATTCGGATAGTTCGGCGCGAATAGGCAAGAGCGATAATAATAGTGAAAATGGTCAGGTTGGTATATTCAATTAAAATTTATTTTGGATATTTTATTAAGTGTTACAGAGAAGAAAAATTGGTGAAATCACAGTTTTCAGTGCAAAAGTAGTTTCAATAAAATTTGAAATATTTAAAACAAATGAGCGTTTTTGATATTTATTAAACTTAAAGTTAGTGAAGCCGATGGGTGGCAAATATGTAGACGACACGATGGTAGTGTACTGGTTTTTTTTGTCTTTTTTTAGTAGTTTGAGTTGTTCAGATTGTGCGGCGACGAAATAATCAAAATACTCCATCGATGGTTTTGAAAAATTGTTGTGTAACGTTTTTTAACGAAGCTAATCGAAATATGTTGATGGCAACGCCACGCATAAATGATAAAGTAGCTGATTTTATAATCAATAATCGGCCGTTTCGAGATTATGATGATTTGGTATGAAATCTACAGTATCTTCCTTGTTTTTTGCATATTTCATTTTTTATAAACTTTTATGTCATATGTTAGGAAAATTACAGTATTTGTGATTATTTACAAATTTCGAATATTCGTAAAACCTATAATATAACGAAAGAGCTGAAGTTTAAATTATGCAATAAATTCTAGGAATCTCGCCTTTTGCAATGTCCACGTGGATCATATGCTGCTGAGCAATATTTAGACTTCTTGGAAAATCGCAGTATACTGGAAAATATCTTGGATGACTGTCGTCGACATTCAGAAGAAATTTATTCTGCTTTGGATTCGATTAAATCTAAACAGTTGCAAATGAAGCCAAAACTGCTAAGTGAAGAGTGCGTTTTATGGAATTGTAATTTCTATATCATTCTGAGGAAACTTTTTTTTTTCTTGCCAATGTTTATTTTTAGGTGCCAACTTCATCCATATCAACAAATTGGTCTGAATTGGCTTATGATGATGCATAAACTAAAACTGAATGCTATTTTAGCTGATGAAATGGTAATTATTTGTTATACTTTAAGGAAGGAAAATATACAGAGAAGGATGATGTAGTGAAGAAATATTCTTAATTGTTACATATTTTCTGGATGTTATTACCTTAGCTTTAATATGTGGAGTAGTCTTTAAAGACTTGACCTATCATCATTTCCTTTTGATGCAAAGTTCAGAAAGTCTGGTATAGTACCTTTATTGCTGATGCTGATACAATGAATTATTGATAATCTGAAATTATTTGTTATTATTCTTATTAATTTGAAAAGGAACATTTTAGGTATTGATTTATCATATGATTTGTCAGTTTCATTGAAAAAAA